AGACTTATCCAACGGCTGTGAACATTTAAAACCAACACAAGTCTCATTAAGTGTCCAGTTTTAGGGTCTTACACAAAAGTATACCACACAACATGAATCAAACATGCACTTCATTTATTTAAATTAAATATCAAAAGTACATCAAAACTGATTAAAGCTAAGGGCATATAAAAACTGTCCAACATGTACAATAAGCACTTATTCAGTTTTTCACTTTCAAAATTATCCCTAATTGAATTTCAAAATACCACTTATAAAACTATCTTTAGTTGAATTTTATAAAAGTACTCTCGTAATGTGTTTTCTTACTTTTAGAAAAGCACTTCCATAAAAGTGCTTTCATAATAGTACTTTAGTAAAAATACTTTTTAAAATTATTTCTATAAAAGTGCTTCCATAAAAATACTTTTGCAAAAGTACTTTTGTAAAAGTGCTTTTGTCAAAGTGACTTCATAAAAGTACTATCCTAAAAGTGCTTTAGTAAAACATGAAAGAAAATGAAGCACAAAATAGTGACAAATGCTTATTTAAGTGCCTATTGGAGAAAAAGGCTACCCAACATCCAATATGAAATAAGTGCTTACTTTTTAAAATAAGTACATGAAAAAGTTGGGTGACAAATGCAAACAAGTGCTTATTCAAATAAAAACTTGTTTTTAAGCACTTATCTTTAACAAAAGGACTCCCAAACATGGCATAAAACTTGATTGATCACCCCTTTAGTCTAAAACCCCTACTATAACTCATTAAAGCTCAACTCGGGTGGTTTCTAAATGGTAAGAAAAAGAAAATAAATTCATTTGGGTTAACTTAGTAATCTCCCTTTTGGAAAAACCCACTCGATCGGTGATCTATTCATGAGGACCAGTCCCAGTTATTACCATGCCAACAGCCCTACACATCCTGTAGCCTAACACCCAAATCTAGATTAATCTATTCCATATGGACCAGATTCAAATGCCAATTTTGATTGAATTTAGAGTCCATTTGGTTCACACTTGGAATTAGAATCAGAATGGTCTATTCCTATATCTAATTGGTTCAGATAGGAATACAAATGAAAACTAGAATCAACAGGAATTGGATTTCATTACCAAGGGAGGGTGATGGAATGGCCATTTCATTGAATGAGGGAATCAGAATGGGAATGGAATTCCTATTTCACCCAACCAAACAATTGGAATCGGAATAGCCCCTTCCAATTCCAATTCCAGACCCCTATTCCCATGAACCAAATAGGGCCTCAAGTCCACCAAATTCCCCAAATTTAGGGTTCAAAAGAACAAAAGAAAAGGGATTAATCAGCACTAGAAAGGGCAATTCCAAATAGAAAACATGCTTGTTAGGTCTTGGCTCCCGATGGTAGAGTAGACAGTTCGGTACTTAGCTATAAAATAGACACATCTTAAATGATATAGCCTAGTTATTTAGCTAAACTAATGTGTGGCACATGGATGCTTTGACAACCTTGTCTTTACATAGGTCTCGAAGGGCAATCATGGGATTTTCCCCAGGCTTAATGTTGACCCCGCTTACCACTATGACTAAGGTCAAGTTCTTGGGCTCTACTTTTACAAGATTCGGTAGTCTGCAAGCCATTAAAAAGCCCCATTAATACTACATTCAATAGGGCCTTGCTTAACTAGGATGGGAAACAAGTATATCTCTTATACACTATTTTTCTCTTGTTTTTTTTCTTTCCTCAACACCTCAAGACCTCGGCTTTCTGACTACCTCAACTAATTTAATTGTCCATGTCTCAACCACTAGTACTACGCCTCAAGGCCTCTACCATCTTTTCGTGCCTATAGATGCGACCTCAGCCAATCTCAAACTCTAATAGCTCCTGATTTACTCTCATGGCCAAATCTGATAACATCAATTGATGCCATTTGTGGGAGCAACAGATAGTTAAATTAGCATGGCCAACAAACAAAACACTTAAGTTGACAACTCCAAGTTAGAAATCTGCTCTCCTTTGAGATGAAACTAATGAGCAATTGAAGTTACTAATGAGCAATTAAGATGAAACAAGACACTCATGGCCACCTTCTCCTCAAGCTCATCTCACCCAAGAGCAATTGAAGTTACTAATCAGCAG